GAATTTCTATCCAACATGTTTATATTAAAACTTGATTATTTTAAGTTGGTAACACAATTGTTACCCCTCCCTCTCTTCTTCCTGAATGGTTATGAAAAATACACGCGTATAACAGTTCTCCGAGCTTTTATTAACAAATTAGCCTCAAAAATTAGTTCACCACTCTGAAATTCCTACAGCCGCAGAAATGGGATCGTGATACCTTCTATTCATATCAAGCGTCATATGGCTCAAGGCTCATAACAAGCCCGGCAACAAGTAAGCATTTTTGCGGTTAAAATTTTTCTTAAATGATATTTTTTCTTCGTCTTCGAAGTCGTCCGTGATTAATTGCTAAGTACGTAATTGCCTAATTTATATAGAAGTGTTAAAACTAATTCTGATCTCCGAAACATACGTATGACATAGGTTAAAGGGTTATAAATATATCACTGTTTTTCTTGATTAATTTCTTTTAAAAATACTTCGTGATGACAACCCCCTGGACGTATATTCGTTTCAATATGTCAATACCTGCAGGAGCAGTTGGGCCATAACTAATTCTTGATGCTGTAGTCGACTAAGTATGTTACAATCTGGCTTTTTTATTTATTTTTATTGCCTTCATGTGTGGACGAGCTCATAGCCCACCTGGTATTAAGTGGTTACTGGAACCCATAGACATCTACAACGTAAATGCGCCACACACCTTGAGATATAAGTTCTAAGGTCTCAGTATAGTTACAACGGCAGCCCCGTCCTTCAAACCGAAACGCATTACTGCTTCACGGCAGAAATAGGCGGGGCGGTGGTACCTACCCGTGCGGACTCACAAGAGGTCCTACCACCAGTAAAGACCAGAAAAGTGGTTGCAACTTAGCTGTGTGGATTTCATCCCAGTATCTAACTATCTAACCAAAGCGTTACCATTATATCAAATAATGTCCGTTTTGTTAGTCGATCAACACTGGGCCCAAAAAGTTAAAATGAAATCTGTACCCAAACCCCGAACCAGTATAAAAAATAATGAGGTTTTAGATTTTCGGGGTGAACCTACGTATGTATTGTATTTTGACTAGCGACCCATCCAGGCTTCGCATGAGTGTTTCTTATTTATGTGAACGAATTTTCGAAACTTAATGACGATGTTCTACTGAAAGTAATAGAATTATATCTGTTTAACTATAAGCCCATATTTGTATATTTTGTAGAGAGCGAGGATCTCATTGTGATCCTTGGTTTCGCGAAAGCCCTTCGTTATGGCACTTTAGTTACCAGCTCACAGAATTCCTGAGAAGCTCTGCAAGTGGATCGCTGACTGTTTGGATGGACGGAGTATCAAAGATGTCGTAGACAATTTCTGTTCCGATATCGTGACCATTAACGCTAGCGTTCCGCAGGATGCGCAAGTTATTTAGAGAGAATAATAATAGTATTAGATTATCCAGATTTAAATTAGAGGGATGATCTCGTTTTCTCGTTAATACCATCCCAACAGCCACCATTGTAACAAAGTTCATATTATGTAGAATTACAGCTTCGTTGAGTAATCGCAGAAAACCCAACTAGGTTTTCTGCGATTACTCAACGATTTTTATTATGACATGTTCCTTTTCAACTGAAAAGGAACATGTTATAGCACCCAAGAAACACAGTGGGGGCAAGTTCAATCCGAACCTGAAATATCTCTGGAAACGTATTGTGAGTGAAGCTGTAATTCTTTTTCTTTTAATTTTTTCTTTTTCTTTTTTTTTGATTTTTCTTTTAAAAGTGAGAAACTTCTGATATGTAATTTTAGCCCTTAATTCACCCTCTTAGCGAATTATTTTTGAAAAAACGCCTTAATGTAAGAAGTACCTGTAAACTCAAGAGGTCGCTAATTCGCCTTTGCCGTAATACTCGTGTCGTTTCTTTATTTATACCTATATTGTATTCTCTTTTATCCCCATACCCCACATATCCCAAAGAACGTTTCGAGTTCCTAGATGATACGCATAATTTTTCCCTGAGATCATCGGATAGCCTGAGATTGAAAATGCCGGCGCATTCATCATCATTCTTTGATAATTAATTCACCATCCAGGCGGTTCGATTGTGGAATGCTCTGTCGGATGCAGTGAGAAGTGCTCCAACTTTAATCTGCTTTAAAATAATGGTGACGGAACATTACTTATCTGCTTAGTGTTGTTTTGTTTGTACATTTATATGCTTTATCATTTTCATACTGTTGATTTATTACGTGTATGTAAGTATATTAGTATGTAAGTATGTATGTTGGTATATACGTCAAATAGTTATTTCATATTATATGTAAATAGTATAGGTATATCTATTTATTGTATGTATATTTTTCCTAAATAATGTATTGCCAATAGTACACCGCAACATACCTGCTATATCTTTATCTTTTCCAATTTTTATGTAAATTAATGGGTTGACTAGAAGAGATCTCTTTTAGTGATAAGACCGCATATTGTACAAATGTATCTGTTTGTTGACTTTTTTTTAATGTTATACGTGTCTTGGTGTGCAATAAAGTGTATTCTCTCTCTCTCGCTACCTTTTTTTACCAGAATTTGTTTTTAGCAGTTATTTAAAATTATTATTTCTCTTATTGAAAATGATGGACTTTTATACATCCGCTCATCATTAATTTAACACTCTTTAAAGAAGAGTTTATCAAAAATCCTTTTTTAGTAGATTGTTGTGAGCACCATCGATCGATGGTGAGCACAAGGTAAAAGTAACAACCGTCATAATTCCATATTTATAGCCCCATTGGTGTAGTTTTTTAAGGATCAGTATTTTTTACTGGTGGTAGGACCTCTTGTGAGTCCGCACGGATAGGTACCACCGCCCCGCCTATTTCTGCCGTGAAGCAGTAATGCGTTTCGGTTTGAAGGGTGGGGCAGCCGTTGTAACTATACTGAGACCTTAGAACTTATATCTCAAGGTGGGTGGCGCATTTACGTTGTAGATGTCTATGGGCTCCAGTAACCACTTAATATCAGGTGGGCTGTGAGCTCGTCCACCCATCTAAGCAATAAAAAATAAAAAATTATACATAATATCTACTGTATACTCTGATATGGTGACAGCAAATAATTACACTCAGGATGTTGTTATGATGTTATTATAATATCCTCTCTTATGTGGTCTTTTTTTTAAATTCAATAGCTTGCACTCAAGTAATTATTCATAACGCTGATAAATTTATGTAAATAATAACATACATATATTAATGTAAAAACAATCATCTCATTGCATTGTCTTTATTTATGTTTTTATTCTACTTATATATAGGCGCATTTAAATATTGACTATTAGAAAAATATTAATGTCTGAAATAATTGTTTAATAATAAATTAATAAATTCAACAAAGTTGATATATATGTATTACTAATTAAATATTTCATTATTTGCACTCAACGCTTGATCTAAACGTACCTATCTGTACAAAACCAACTTTTTTTTCCTACCTATGCCGAAAGCCTCGAGTGGCTATTTCAGCTTCTCCTTGACGTGTAGGTGAGCTCACAAGGCTCAAACCGGCAGTTTTGCTAACACTGGCCCCAGCAAGAGCAGTGCTTCGCAGAATCTACTACCGGATCGGAAACGCGACCCACTGAGAAGAATCGGCGCGAAACTCAATGGGCTAACAAAGTGAACAACATGCCAATTAATTAATGCATAAATGTTAATGTGTTGTGTAATGTGTATTTTTAAGAATTTTTTAATTATATCGTATAATATATCTGTGTATAATTATAAAATATATAGTATATATCTGTATATAATTATATGTGTGTATTTTTTAGAATAACAACAGTCATGTAAGCACACAGCTCACCAAATAAAAGTTTAAGCCGTTCGTAAACAACTTAAGGCCTAGGCCGCACTACGGTGAAACCGCAGCGGTTATTAACCGTGTGAGTTTATGAAAAACGAAAACGAATACAAGCGGCCGCACTTGCGGTTCTTTCCCGCGACTGATTTTAAAACCGCGAAATGTTACAAAATTGTCGCGGAAAAAAACCGCAACAAAATTTGTAATCCATAGAACTAGGTATCCGTGCACGCACTATGCGTAACCGCGGGCGGGTTTTTGAAATTTCAAATGCATTTGCGAAATTTTGTTTCCATGAAATTGGCCACTGGCATACGATAGTCATTGAAAAAAATTTCTAGGGGTTTTCTTAAATTTTGATATTTCTTATGAAAGAAACCTTTCTCAAATCTACTGTTAGTAAGTGAATGGACCCAACATTTGTGAAAATTTCGTTATCTTTTTTTATATTTCTTAGTACCAGAGCAACACTACATACTGCTCTTTTGAAATTTATCCATCTTCGAACTGTGAAAATCGCGGGCGAATTCGCGGTTAATAATTGTAGTGTGTGCGTCTTAAGCGGTTTCGCGGTTACAGCGGTTAACCGCTCCCCGAAAAAAACCGTAGTGCGGCCTAGGCCTAACATCTCCAGAGCTTACCAAAATGTTTAAAAAAAAAAGGTTTTTGCTCTCGGGAAATTCCAAATAGAGGAATTCATTTGCCGGCGAGCTCGCAAGCTATGGGACTATATACAACAATACGCAGATGGCTTAAATCTTTCCGCATATTCAGCGAATGCAATGTTGTCTTTGTTTTTTTTTTCAGATGGGTGGATAGCCCACCTGGTGCTATGTGTATACGGGACCCGTACACATCTACAACGTAAATACCGCCATTCAACTTGAGATAGAAGCTCTAATGAGAGAGTGAGAGAATAGAGTGAGACAATTATCACCGAACAGTGAGTTCAAAAAAGAAAAAGAAGTTTGTACCTACTACGGTCTCCAGCACTGATACCACCTCAATCAATCGTGATCTCCGATTTTTTTTTTTTTTTGGCTTGATGTTACCCCATGTTTGGTTTTTTTTGTGATTTAAGTATGTTACGCTTTAGTTTGCTAATTGTTATTGTTTTTTTTTTTTCAAATAAACGTGGCTGGAGATCAGTTTCCAACTATCGCAGAGTCAACTCTTGTAAGATTTCAGCTTAGGATCTTTTTAGAACGTGAACGCTACGATATCGATCCTTGCGCTAAATATTCAAATATTTATTTATATAGAATAAAAATTTAAAGCTTAACTTAATCGCCCTAGAGAATTACCCATGGCTCAAACATTGGCCGTTCTTGAAGCATCCAATTTCTGATTTACTTTTATATCATCAATATGTGTATGTGATTGAAATGCAGGAAGAAAGGGGAATCAAACTAATTAGAATGCCAACTTTTTTTACTAATTTAAGTCAAATAATATTATCGGTTAAGTATTCCAGTTTGGAGGGCAAGGTCGTCGTTATGAGTGACTCGGGTTTTATGGGGGTTGGAAGATGGAATTCACGTTATGGTGGTCCATGGCAATTACAGCATAATTTTCACTCTTGCCCCCGCTCCCGCTGATACTACCGCTTCAGCGTCCACGCGAAAGTGAAAATTGCAAGGCACTTTCTCCCCACTAGACCCCCCCTCAACTACGCCGTGGCGCATCGGTCCGCCCCTCGCTGCACCCCCGCGCGCCTCTGCCCCTCGCCGCGCGGCGCAAGGTCAGCCCCGCGTGCAGGCGGGCGGCGCGCGGCATAGCGGCGACGCGCTGCGCTCTTGAAATTTCGCTTTCGTTCACTCGTGGTTATTAGTCGGCCGCGCGCGCTCCGGCAAGCATGTGTTTTGTGTGACGTGCTCTAACTCTTTCCGCGCGGCACATTCGATTTCGTTGACGATCGCGGCATGGCCCCTCGTCGGCAGGGCGCAACCGGCGAGCGCGAGGCGGAGGAAGTCCTCGGGTGCTGTGTGCCCGGTGAATGCCTCCGGCCTCGGGAAGCGGTACGCATTGAAGACGCTGTCCGCGTGATATGCAACAACGACACGTGCACCGCCGGCCGGTATATGCACAGAGAATGCTTCGAGCAATGGGAAACTGGGGTTCTCGCTTATCTAAAGTCATGCGGCCGAGCTCGTTCCTGGTCAGAACGACAACGGCATCAGAATTTGTGGACAAAAAAAGGTTACGACTTGGCATTCAAGGCATGCGGCTGCCGATGTGGCCGAGGGCACTTGAAAAAAGATCTTGATTGGTTACCGCCTGGAGCAGCAATCCGAGCAGAGGAGGAAAAGAAGCGTCGTCGACGCACAAGATCGGGTCGTACACTACCAGCTGCTACAGATGGCCGATCCAGAGCATTCAGTCTTTCGAGTTCCGGTTCCTGTTCGCCACCGTCTGCTCCATCTGAGCCTTCCACCAGTCCAACACATGCTCCAACACACAACATGACTCCGGCCAAAAGAAGCTCCAAGCCAGAAGTCATTTCTGATCGTGTTAGGTAAGAAAACATCATCCAATAATAAACACACTGTATCTTTATTAATTTTACCTACAATAATTACATGCAAAATTAACTAAGAGCTTAGTACATATTTTTCTCGATATAAATTAAAGAATGTAATGAATAAAATAACTTTAGAGTGGGTTATATTTATATCAATAATTAAAATTAACTTCAAATATTTAGTAAATTTTTTTATCAAAAGCACCATATTCTAAGTAGTATTTTTGTAGATTTGTCACTTTTTGGTCACTTCCAAAGTAATTTATTATGTGTGTTCAACAAAAATATTGGAGTAGGTAAGTATGTACTTACATGATATCAATTTTCATTACAAAAGCAAAACATTTCGATATGATTAAAATACTAATTTCACTACAGGCCCGTCCGACAATCTATAGAATAAAATTAGTGTAGGCAGAGCCCACACCTACATGTTTTGTGTTGAATGCATTTCTCGGCGCGGCGGCTGTTTATACGGTGTATCGGGCATCAGACCCACATAATTGGCTTTGAACTGGTTGGGACGAAGGGTGGGACGGTTAAACCGGCCTTACGGGCCTCTGGCTATGACTATTGAATTCAGATAAGGGCATAGTGTGTTACTTTCGATAAAAGCAAGATGCACCTAAGCTATGCGATAGCTAGATGTTGAAGAAATTAATAATCTTATGATTTTTCAATAAAGGAACATGGTAAAGATATTTTAGTAACATTTACTGCAAACTCCAATTGAAAGTTATACTCATAATATTTTGGAAACAAGAAAAAGTTTTGCCGGTGGCAAAAATACGACGGAATAGATAAGAGCGATTTATTTAAGAGTTATAAAATTGAGATTACAAGCAAACCCCTTTTTACTTTTCAAAGTTTGCTCATTTTTGCTTTAATAGTTAAAGTATAGAAGTTAATATTTCCAATAAATCTTGAAATTTGCCGAAAATCCTTCAATTATTACAAACAGGTTGTATTCATAAACATCCAAACGGGAAACCAAAGTAAACAATGCGTTTTTTTTCATTCGACATTCACCTCCTCGTGTTTCATTTGATAATTGAAAACTACTGTTTGTGACATAACCTTGGTCGTTTTTTGCGCAGTTATTGTCTGGCTAAATGGATATAGTGGGCCTTAGTGATGTAAACAAGTGACACATTCAGGTAATGTCGTGATTTTTAATGAGTTTTCACAGCAAGACAATTCATGTCGCTTAAATTTTCCCTGATGTGACATAAATACATAGGTAATATTTCATTTGAGTAAACCGCACGTTCTTAATTTGGGGTCAGAAAAAAAAAACTAACCAAAAAATGTTGCTTTTTAACAATGGCACCACAAATGATGGAGCCCTAAAAATGCAATTTCGTAACCGGTGAGCAGCTGGTTTCCGTTTCCTGGCCAAAAGTGCATATCTCCGAAATTAGAGGCAGCTGCCCTTTTTACACGACTAATATTTTCACAAACTATAATGTCTGATATTACCTTGTTCATATAAAGTCGAAGCGAAAATGCTGTTCTGAGTTTTTCGGTATCGACAAGTCTAATGAAATATTTTTGGTGACATCGTGATATATTATGTCTATTATAATGAAAAAATAAATATATTTATACGCCTCACAGATATATGCACCAATTATATTTTTTTAATATAAGTATATTGTGTACAACTTAAACTATGACAAAAAGCGTATTAAGAAAATAACATAATTTGGGATAAGCCGTAACCCGTGGAGGTAATCTTATCACGTTTTGTAGAACCAAACAGTATGTATGGTTGATANTATTATGTCTATTATAATGAAAAAATAAATATATTTATACGCCTCACAGATATATGCACCAATTATATTTTTTTAATATAAGTATATTGTGTACAACTTAAACTATGACAAAAAGCGTATTAAGAAAATAACATAATTTGGGATAAGCCGTAACCCGTGGAGGTAATCTTATCACGTTTTGTAGAACCAAACAGTATGTATGGTTGATACTGTAATTTTAGCTCTAATGTAATCGTTTGCATAACTGATAAGGCAGCGTAAAAGCGAATAATCTACCGAACCGCGTCTGGTAAAAACATGGTTCGATTTTAAAACATACATTTTTTACTTTTTGTGCAATTATGGTTTTTGTAAAGAAGTCGTTTTGTTATTTCAAAAAAGCAATAATAAACCAATAGAAACGAGCAAGGAAAACAAAACAAATACGCCAATTAATTATTTAAAAAAATAAGAAATAAAACAATCAAACACAAGCAACATAATATATCGATACGAAAAACGCAAACAACTTAGGATACTAATAATGTTAAGCCATTAATTTACTAAGAGAACCATAAAACCGATTCTCATGTAAGGACACGTGAACTAAACGATGATAGGTCTTGTTCACAATTATCATTATGAATACATGATTTTAACAATTTAATTAGAATTGTTGCCTAAACACACGAAATTCCCCATGAAGACTCACAGTTGACAACATTATAAATGGTGTGCAAGATGCTTTGGTAAATGCGTCGACTCATTTTTTTTTGAGCTAAGTCCAACAGACAAAACATAAAATATATAATTGACGTTTATAATTGATAAAAGATGTTTTTACTGTTCGTTATTTTTTTATCGATAAAAGCATTTTGAGAATATATCAATTGGTGGGATTATTAGTATTCATAAGTATTATTGTAGACGAGGCTCAATTGCTAGTGTGCTAGTGACGTAGTAATTTTATAATTTCCTTCTTGATTGAGTCGTGGGCGAGATTGTCTGACGGACACAGTCGCACGAGTCCAATTATGTATTTTCGTCAAATAAATTACATTAATCTGTGTTTTTCGTCGAGGATGTGTGTATAATAAAATCAAATATTTTTACAAAAATAATCATAATGGTAATCTTTTAAAATCAAACCAGATCACAAATATATTAGAAATAATTACCCGCACAGGTAGGTATCATCACACTGCCTATTTTTGCCGCCAAGCATTGATACGTTCGGATTACAAGGATGGGTCCCGTATATGAAATAAATAAATAAATCTTAGATATATATCAATAATCAGTATGCAAAACACTCGCAAAGTCTATGAACGGAACAAAATGTAAAAGTTAGTATGCGCAAACGCAGCTCTTTGTTTTCAACGTGCTTTTATATACAATAATATTATGTATATTTAACATTCACGTTTCATCCGTTTGTTTATTTATATCTCAAGCTAAATTAAATGAAATATGTATTTTTCCGTCGGCATATACATTTTTTTCGGTTTTGTCAATTATTTGTTACAGTGGGCAATGACTGACGTTATCTTGCTCTGAGAACAAATTAATCAACCCTGAAATCTGATCGCAGCGACATCTACTGGGTCTAATTGTAATATTATTTTTAATAAAAACATAATTTAGTCTATGACGAACATTCTAAAAGCAAGAGTAGCCAGATCGATCTAGCAGGAAAAACATTTTCTTGTTATTTACAAATGTAGATAAAATATTGTGTAAGTATAGATTTAAAATTTCGACTCCGAATAATGCCCAACCTTAGAAAATAAAAATAAACAGAACGCCTAAGTGAAAAAAATAGCAACATTAAATGTGTTTTTAGTAAACAACAGATTTAAATGTACTAACTTGTCAAATACAAAATTAAGTTCATATTGAAGTTTTGTTGTCCAAATATTTGTTATGTTGTAGGTATATTCTTTTATTTTATGAATCTTCGTAATTATAAGAAACTACAGCAGCTCGTTTAAAAAACATTTTCTCTAAATAAAACTTAAAATGAAAAGTTAGTATTAGTAGTCAAAATCAAAAATATTTTTAATTATCACAGTAGGTAACTTGTTTGTGAGTGAACGAGAGCGTGTTACGCTATAAATATGTTTTGTTAATTTATATATGGTACAAAAAGCACATGTTTTTGTTATAAAAGCAGAGTCGGATCACGTTTGTAGTGGCCTTGAGACGAGCCCACCGACCGATATACAGCGGACGCCATTTAAGGCCCCACATTTTTAAATGACTTGATCGACCATTCATTATTAACAGTCAATAAGTTCGATAGGTACTCGAATTGATTTGAAACGAGAACGATGTCTCTCATACAATCGAATTGCAATTTTTGCGTTTGATTGCATAATATAAATTATTTTTTTAATGAAATGTCACGTTATATGCAAATTCTGAACTTGAAGTATTGTTCATTGTATTTTTTTTTTGCATACAAATTTAAATTGAAGTATCCAGGACATTCCTAAATTGATTGTTTTAAATACGTAAACTTAATTTTGTATGCTAATAAAATGCATGTTTGTGTGAAAATAAGGGAGGTGAATCGAAATGAGTGTATCTATACCTTTCGCTAATACTTTTAAAACATAAGAGTATTAATCATGACAAAGGTGATTAGTAATGCACGACTTCAATCAAAGGTGCGTAAAAATATTACATTTACGAAATAATTTGCACACTGTACCTTAAGACAGTGTAAAGGCGCGACCACAATGAGTCAGATTTCAGTGGTGCGTGAAGAAAATACGACGCAGCGAGGGGGCCACGGAGGGGCGTTGGTAGAGAATGCATTTTCTCAGCACAAGGTTTTTTTCTTTAGGTACTTACTACAGTATAGAGACCTAAAATAAAAAGCGAATATAGCTCGAACAAAAAAACTCATCCGTAACATTTTTTTTAAATAAATATATTCATGACAATAGAACAGGTGAGTCATAGAACAACAGTTACACTATTGTTGTCACCGACGATTAGTTAAATACGCTGTACCTCTAAACCTCTAATTAGTTTGATTATGAAATAATCATTAAAACGCCCGAATCAGTCAATTATCAAAGATTGCCGAAATGCATCAATGCACTTTAACAAAATAAATATTAAATCTATCGTGTATACGGAACTAGCGACCCGCCCTCGCTTCGCTTCGGAAACTGTAATTTATTATTGATTTCTTCACTATTTAATGCATGTTATTATAAATATAAACCT